TAAACTAGACTATTAAGGGGGAGATTTAAGGGATAATGTATATTCGTTGTACACTTATTACACAGATTTTTTACCACAGAAATAATTACGGGGACATGAAATATTGAATTGAGATTAATGTTTCAAAATCTTAGCTGTTTATAAATCCATTTTGTACAGTGTACAAAACAATTGTCCAGACAAGATGATCACAACAATAATTTTATAGTAGTATTAATACTAAAGTTAATTTTCAATACAATCCAAAACTGAGACGCAAGACGGCAAGTAGAATTTGAATGAAACGAGAGCGAGCGTCTGCGATGATACAAGAGACATGGATGTGTGCTTTATTATGATAGGATAGTAAAGAGTGGACAGGAAGCGAGGTAGGAGAGAGAGAGAGAGAGGGGGATGTGATCGGGAAAGGTCCGCAACTAACCTACTAAAGTAATAACGATACTGTTCTTGAAGGAGATAAACTTAGTTTAGCCAAATAATGAGCCAAATAATGAGAAAGAACAAAATCTCTTACCACAGCTATGCAGACGACACACAGCTCTACTTAGCCCTATCGCCTAACGATTACAGCCCCATTGACTCCCTGTGCCAATGCATTGATGAAGTCAACAGTTGGATGTGCCAAAACTTTCTTCAGTTAAACAAAGACAAAACTGAAGTCATTGCGTTTGGAAACAAAGATGAAGTTCCCAAGGTGAATGCATACCTTGACGCTAGGGGTCTAACAACTAAAAATCAAGTCAGGAATCTTGGTGTGTCTCTAGAGTCAGACCTTAGTTTCAGTAGTCATGTCAAAGCAATAACTAAATCAGCATACTATCATCTAAAAAATATTGCAAGAATTAGATGCTTTGTTTCCAATCAAGACTTAGAGAAACTTGTTCATGCTTTCATCACCAGCAGGGTGGGTTATTGTAATGGACTCCTCACTGGCCTTCCTAAAAAGACCGTAAGACAGTTGCAGCTCATACAGAACGCTGCTGCCAGGATTCTGAGCAGAACCAGAAAATAGGAACATATCACACCAGTCCTCAGGTCTCTACACTGGCTCCCAGTTACATTTAGGATTGATTTTAAAGTATTATTACTGGTATATAAATCATTTAATGGGCTAGGACCTCAATATATTGCAGAGATGCTCACTGAATATAAACAGATCACTCAGATCATTAGGATCACATCAGCTAGAAATACCAAGGGTTCGCTCTAAGCATGGAGAGTCTGCTTTTAGCTACTATGCCAGCCGCAGCTGGAACCAGCTTCCAGAGGAGATCAGATGTGCTCCTACAGTAGTCACATTCAAATCCAGACTCAAAACACATCTGTTTAGCTGTGCATTTATGCACTGTGCCACTGTTCGTCCGACTGTTTTTACTGTACTGGTTTTGTCTTTGTTTTTTTTTTTATAATCTCTGGAAGAGATTTTGAAGGAGAGTGGGAGAGTCTTCACTCCGATGAGGTGAGTGAAGGAGTAAGCTAGTTATACTGCTGAGAGTATAAGTCGTCGCTGAGAGCGTCGTTAAGTGTAACGGCAGCAGACAGCGCACGCGAAGCGTGCTCTGTGGGGGGGCCCCGCTGGGCATTACTGGTGTAGCACCACCCTAGCAGAGTATGTCCCTGGGCTAGAGGTCCAGTGGCACCGTAAACCGGCTCAATCTCTTCCGTCTCAGATAGGGGTGGACCAGTATTACTTTCTTTCTTTTTTTATTCTAAACTGTTTTAATTATTCTTATTTGTTTTGATTATTTTAATTTCTTCTATGTAAAGCACTTTGAACTGCCATTGTGTATGAAATGTGCTATATAAATAAACTTGCCTTGCCTTGCCTTGCCTAGTTTAGCTATTAGTAGAGACGCTGCTGCCGAACACTTTTGGGAGCACTTGGGTAATTCACACATGCTTTGACTCTCCCTCTCTCCCCCCTCTCTCTAACAACATTAAAGGAGAACTCCGGCGCAAAATGAACCTTTGGTCTAATTACACATTGTTACCTAGTCAACCGTTATCTGAGATTTGTTTTCATGATTATCGAATGTAAATAGTTTTATCTCTACAAACAGTTTAGCCAATAAAGCTACGCTAGTATATTGGGCATAGTGTAATGACAAATAAAAATCGCTTGTTAATACCACTAACAAGGCTCAAAATAGCCCCACACTAGCACGGTAGCATAATGAGGGTCCCTACCTTCAAACCGAAGCATTGAGAACTTTGTCAGTGTCCAGACAGTTTAATAAGAAGATATTTTAAACATACAGTCAACTTCGCGTATACAGGCACAAGCCATCTTTGAAATACAGTCTTTACCAGTCGATCTACGAACGCCGATCCAAGCCTGCTGTTCGCGCTCACCTTATCACAACTTATAGCTCGTTCACATTCTCACCAGCGCACTTGGATCGGCTTTCGTAGCGTTCGGCGTTCGGCGTTCTTGGAGCTGCAGTCCGGCGTTTTTCCTCTTTGTCGCCATCTCTGTTCGAAATCTACAATTGCAGTCATTAGCGGAATTATCAACTTTACGTGAGTTGTACTTCAACACCCTCGACACGGCACAGCGCGGATGAACATAATGTTTGAGGAGAGTGTGCTGTGCAGCTGTCAGTCACCGCGCCGGTGTGGATAATGGCATTCAGACTTCACAGATCATTCTTTTTGGAAGTATGACCAACATAAGAATTTTCACCGGAAAATGTCATCTGAACAAGTAAGAAACATCCTCTTTTGTTCTGGTTCTGACATTGCAGTAAATCGCGCTGATTAAATCTAACAATCGCTTATAAGTTATCATATCACGCAAAACTGTGCAAATTATACTTTGTTCTCAAATTGTTAATGTTAACAACATCAGCATTGCGTGACTACATGTAATGCCCTTCAGATATTATCCTTGTTATTGCATGGGTCCGGTTGCAGTCTCTTCTTTCTGTAGCCACTCCGAAGTCCGAACGAAGTCTTTTGCATTTTACAGCGGGTGAATCTGTTGTCACTGGTGATTGTCGTTTGAACCTTTCTGGATCCGCCATCAAATTGATAAGTTTAATTATATCAAGTGCTGTGAGAAAAGGCTATAAATCTCCACCTCCAACATCCTCACACGCAATATAGCTTATACTAGCCGAAACTCCTCCTTTATGTGTACAGATGTGACGTAATGACGCAAAGACATGCTCGAATCTCCCGCGGAAATCCACCAGTACCACTGGAATTAAAAACATTATTACAAGCTTACCGTTTTGAATCGAGCTAAGGCAAGCAGATAGTTTTGAACACTGGCTGGTTATGTATTTTCTCAAATATGTATTTTGGATAATTTTTTACCCCCAAAAAGCTACGGACTGCAGCGTTAATGTACACAATTATGTGATAAAGACTTGTTTAAAATGTTTTAATGCTTTGGTTTACTTTTGTATTTTTTTGTGATATCTGCCCAGGTACTACAGTTAGAAATTAGCTGTAATAGCTAAACTGGCACATTTACAGAAATGTTTATTAATGTGCACTGGCCCTTTAATTCCAAACTGAAGTAATGTAAAATAAGCAAAGATATAAAACACAATGAGAAAGGGCTTGTTGGACTGAATATTTATATAGTGTTATTATTATTATTTCTGAAGACTTTAATAATTTTCCCCAACTTTCATCATGGGAAAGTGGTGACATACCTTAAGAAATTATTATTACCATTTCTTGAACTAAGAAACTCTTTACTGAGGTAATTTTAGAAACAGTTCACAGAGTAATAGAGCATTCATTTGAATCCTCTTAGTCATTAAAGTCTTAGACACCTGAGGACGCAGGTAGATTGTTAATCAGCTCTTCATTTTTGAAAAATTCACTGTGTTGTTGATGCCTGGTTGCCACAGCAGAGTCTTCCCTTTTTTTCTGCTATCAAAATCAGCCACAGCTCTTCAAACGCAAGGTCACCTTGGGTCATAGTCGTATTTACCACTGGTTGAATGAATAAGGCCACAGACATAGTCAAGCGTCTCATAAGCCACACTCAGAGGATGAGTCTGAATTCTCGCTGTATATACGGGATGAATGAGGATAAAAACTCGCCTTTGACTTTTCTCACTGTTAGTTATTGGACCTTGACATTGAAAAAATGAAGGAGTCAGTGAAGAAAAAGTTAAGAGTCTCTTGAAGTCATCACGTTGACACCATGCCCCTCAAATATATCTTGCGGTTTGGGTCGATTGCAGGTTTGGCACTGTAAAAAATGAATCATGGGTCTTGTAATTTTCACATTTTCCTAATTTTTTTAAGGAAACATACACAATTTTGAGGCTTGAATTGAGGAAGCTGATAAAATGAAGGAAAAAAGGCTACCAATTTATTTTAAGAGAATTAGCTCAATTATGCGGTTTTATTTAGAGACACCGTTGTTAGTTCCCAGCATGCTTTGCACATGGCTGGTAATGGAGAGAAAATATTGAAATTAAGTGTTATTTTATGTGTTTTTGAGTAAAGGGAATCATCTGTTAATGTTCAGTTATGTTTGACATTTGAAAGAGTTTCTATTATGTTGAAGTTTTGATTGTTACCATTGTGCAGAAGAGTAGGGCTTATAGTAAGGTTGTGAATAACTGCATATATTGATACTCTGAAGCATGTTGCTTTGTTTGTTGAGCAAAAACTTTGTCATAATGCTAGTGCAGTAACAAGTTTGGTTATGTGCTGTGCTAGCGGCATACAGTCTTTTGATAAAGCAATATAACTCAGTCAAATATAAACAGGCAATTTCCATTCACTCTAATTCACACACTTTTGAACATCAACTTAAAATAAAATAGCATATTTCATAAAAAATATTAAATTCATTGTATCATTGACTAAATAATTAAGGGGATTTTACATGAAAGAAATCAAGCCTTAACTACTCAAAAACATTATTTGTAATATTGTTACCATAATTTTTGTTAAATTAAATAGCAGTAACATTTTTACAGTGCAGAAAATTGAATGCGAAGTGAGACCGTTTTTTTTTTTTTTTTTTTTTGTGGAGTGACAAGAACAGCGGTCATTGGCAGCCCTGATTTTTTTTAATTGTCCATCTGAAATCTCTTGATAGCAATTCAGTAACTGTGTCAGAGAATCCCTTCCACACTATGCCATTCACGGCAGATGCCTTGAGCCCAGAGTCTTTGCTTCAGTGTCAACAGTGTGTTTGTTGTCTGCTTCCTGTTTGTTCTGGAGGACTATTTTTGTGTAGGTTGTGTTTGATGCCATTCAGTCCAAAAGTCGGGGACCACACTGAGATACAAAATCTAATTTAAACCCGGGAAAACTTACAAAATTATACCTCAGAGATGAATCAGTAGTGCTTTTTAGTGGTAAATGAAAATAGATTTCAGTGTAATGATTCATTTTCGATTTAATGTGCTTCTCTGCAATGTTGTTTTCGTCAACGATGACGATAACGAAATGATTTCGTTGACGCACTTATTTTTTATGACGATAACGCGACGATGACTAGCTAAAAATGGCTCTAAGGTGACTAAAACATGACGAGACGTTTTCGAGTTTTTCGAGTTGACGAGACGGAACGAAAATGACTATAAGTCTGACGTTCACAATGCATGTCATTTCTGCCTATTTTGCGTGAAATCTGTCTTGAGCTAAAAAAGTATCAGCAATGCTGCCGCTTCCTATCATTGTTTTGGGTACCCATGCCGGCGCGTTCGCACCAGATTCCACACAACAACACAGCTTCATAGCGAATAGTTCTGCGGCTGCGGCTAGTCACTCACCACACATCTTCGAATGACCATGGCGGCGAAGCCAATAAACGGGCTTGGTGGTCGGAAACGACGAGATGATTTATGGACATACTTTCAGTTTCAGTATAATCCAGCGGTTCTCAAAGTGTGGGGCGCGCCCCACTGCCGTGACAGGTCTCCTCCAAAACGGGAGGAAATTTTCCGTTTTATGCCTTTTTATCTTTATTCGTTCATGGCGAGTCCGCATCGTCAAATTCATCTTTGCAGTGACACCGAAAACACCAGTTTATTAATAAACAATTAAATGTCTCCTTGCTATTTTTTTACACATTCATAATCACTACTTTTGCCGGTTCTTTGTGGCAAGCTTTATGCGTGCGGTCGTGCGCTTGAGTGCGGCTATAACGCTCAATATCCCGTATAGCCTATTTAAGTAATTAAATTAATATAAAGGGCCGATTTGTCCACTTATGGCTTAAATGAAGAACTACTAGTCGACTAGAATACAAACTTTAGTCGGAGGCAGCTCTTATTCCACATATTCTCGCACCAGCAGGCCATTCTGTGTTGAGCGCGCGACCCTGAGCTGAATGAGCGAGCGAGGCGGAATATTCATAAATGCGCTCTCCACTCACATGCTCTGATCGGAACAAAGGAATATTAAAGTAATTAATCATTAGTTCATATCTTATACACTGCCCATACACTACCCATCATTTTAATCCCATATCAAACACAGTATGTTATGTCTATTTTATCTATAAAAAAAAATATATATATAGGCTATATATCATGTTTTTAAGTAGGCTAAAGGCAGAGAGCTGTGTGCTTTCTTCTTCCCTTTGCCACATCATATCACTGTGAGATGGGCTTTTCAGCTGTTTCAGTTTCACTGAAAACAAAGTACAGATCTCAGCTGAACATTGAGCATGACTTTTGAGAAATTGTGCAATTCAAAACAGGCTCATTGCAGCCACTAATGCAGGGATAAATAGACCTGTCTTGCCAAATGGATTTCTATTCTTTTCTTTTTTTAACAGATTGCAAAGTGGCACTTTTATTTCTTTTCTATTTTTGAACTTGATACCAATTTTGACACAGCCGCATTTTATTTTCTCTATTTTTTAAAGACTATTTATTTTTTATTTTTTACTAAAATTGACTAAAACTTGATTAAAACCTTTTTGCGTTTTCGGCGACTAAAACTTGACTAAAACCTTTTTTTGTTTTCGTCGACTAAAACTTGACTAAAACTATGAAGTTTTTAAGTGACTAAAATGTGACTAAAACTAAAAAGCATTTTCGTCCATAAGACTAAGACTAAAACTAAAAGGGCTGCCAAAAACAACACTGCTTCTCTGCATACTCATTTTATACTGCACTAAAGTTTTTTTTTATTCATAAGGTATTTCTTTTTTTATTCATAAAGTGAGGGTTCATTTTGACCTTTAAATTAAGACCTTCATGCAAGTTTACATAGGACATTTTAATATATGAATGTCATCTACTCCTGATCTTTATTTTAGCTTGAAGCTTTACTTCAATTAGCACAAAGCAGTACAACTAATCTGACATTAATATTCATTTATTTATGACCCACAGATAGACCTTATGGTCATCTGTAGTATCTAAACTTAGTTCTGGTTCTCAAATCGTATTAGCTGAGAGCCTTTTCCAGCAATGCAGTAATCTACAAATATTACATGGAAACAGTTTCACAATTTGTATCACCCCTCTTGTTTCCACCGGACCTATACTGGTAGCATTTCTTATCGACCGTCAATGGCGGCGTAGCGAACCCACTATAATCTTACAAATACTACTATTATTGTGTCATAAATGTAGTTGTAAGGTAGCCTGGCATGCCAGACCTACATCAAGATGTTAGGTCTGGGAACTCTCCATAGACATACCTCAATCCGAGGGGCGGGATAAACGGTTACCTTTCAAAATCCCTCTGCACGCAATAGGATAGCGCTACAACCAACCAGAGCAACGAACGGTTGTGGATGAGTGAGTCCCATGCGTTTTTCCACCAGCGGAGCTAATTGATATATTAAACTTTTGCCGTATCAGGTCGGTAAAACTCCGAACACATCTTCCTTTTTTAAGAATGACTTAAGTGACGTTCTCTTAACTCCACGTCCTCCAGAGTCGCGGCCAAAGCCGATTCGAAAGACCGCTGCATCTTCATTGTTTTCAAGTAGCAGGAAAATCACCTATGGAAATCACGCGGAACGTCATGAACTCTGCCGTCATTGTGTTAAGCCCGCCCGCCGACTCTATACACGATGTGATTGGCCTGACCAGTTTTTGGTTTTTACAGCTCAAAAGCCTATGGAGAGTTGCTAGACCACACTGGCTGCGAAATAATTTTCGCTGCCGCTAGGGTGCGTCTAGATTTCTAGGCTAGTTGTAAGGGTTAATTAGGCAAGAATGTAGTCGTTTATCTCAAATCTGCAATTTATATATGAACATAGCACCTATTTGAACATTTGTTTAGACATTTTTGGAGGTTTTGCTGCAATATAAACTGTGATATGGAAGGGGAAAAAAATCACCAGATGACTTGAATAGCTCATTTTGGAAAGAATTAACCATTGCAGAATGATTGGGGTGATTTTGTAGGGAAGTGAATCTGCATAGAAAATAATAAACAAATTACAAGCATAGATAAATGCAATAGAACAAAGATACAAATTAAATAAACAGTGCTTTGTTTTTCAGACGAGTCTTCAGAAAATAAATAATTGTTCTTAATTGTTTACGTTCACGTAAGCCATCCTGTGTTTACGAGGATACTTGCCGAGACAGGAATTTTTTTGCATGTATGTGTCCATTCAAGCATAAATAGACACGAAAGAGAATGGAATTCGGTGTTCATCTTCTGTCTGTTTTGCTGTGTGTGCACAGAAAACAGCGTGTGAGTTCTCTTTCACGTCTTCTTGCACTCAAATGGTTTAAAATTGCTTTAATGTTTAAATTGACCGGACCTACAACGTGCAAATGATAAACTTGCGCTCTATTATGGTTCAACTTTGCAATTAACCCGAGAATTACGTGCATTTCGAACTGTGGTGCCTGGTCCATACAGATCAACTAAGATCCCTTTACTTGATATTGCACATCCTGCGATGTGACCATCACAGATGCACACATCACAATATCGATTCTAAAATGATGTGCAGCCCTACATCAAACTGTTGTTTAAGAGCAATATCACACTCGTAGTTGTGCAATATGGCTCTATATCAGCACGGCTGTCATTGTCCCCGGCACAAGGCCGCTGATCTAATCACAATCATGCTTATGGAGCGAATTATGTGCCAAAATTAAACAAACAAATCCAGCATTTTGCAAACAAACTCGATCTGCTTTGCAAAGGAAAACTCGACTCGCAAACAAACAGAAAGCAATTTGCAAAAACAAAGGTCAATTTGAGCGAAAATGCAGTGGAGTAACCAATATTGTGTTTTACAAATATAATTTAAATAAATGATCCTTGATAATATTTCACAAATAAATACAAACCATCCTACAAATTGCATGTAACCTTTGAACAAATACCAAATCTAGTGCATACAAATGCATATCTGTCTGTTATGATTGTGAGAGCTCTCGGCTCGATTTTCTCACAAATGCAGAAGACAGAAGACTGCATTTCTTCTAAAACAGTAGATGGCGCTAAAATAGGGGATTCATTTAGTGTTAGTCTAATGAATGAGCGCCTCCGCACCCCCTAGACACCATTTACTACACACAATAGGCTTTTTTTTCTCTGATTTTGAAAACTCTTCGCGATCGACTTAAAATGACGAGTACTAATCAGCTGTCTCACGAACGTAACCAGCACATTTATCCCCACATAGCAAAGCCATAACACAGCGAGGGAGAAGAACTAAGTTACATGAAACAATCCAACATATTTTACACCACTGACAAGGGAAAAGTCACTACTCACGGTGTTTATGGCTAGCTTCTAGCTTTCTGCGGCTTCTCTTTCAAGGTAGTGACGAAACGCGCTCTGTAACGCTGTTTGTTCGCTGTCGGCTACGGTAGAAACATGACGTCACAATATGTCGACCTTCATATAAGGGGGTGCCCGCGGTTATGTAGATAATACTAGATATAAATGTCTCAATAAACTGTAATGTTTTTATTACCTTAGAATAAGTAAGTTCTTTATACACCACTGAACACATAGTTATGGATGTCATATTGCATTTCTGTTAATAGATACTCAAAATTTTTACACATTTCACCTTTAAATTCTTCAATTTCAAAAGTAAAACAGTTTGGCTTTTATTTTTGCAGAAACCGTAGGAAGACCTTTAATCTGTGTTTAGCTGACAACAGGTTTATAAACCCTTCTTGTTTACACATTTAGTACAATGCTAAAAACGTACATCCTAGA